CGGGCCGCGTGGACACGTTCTGGTACAAGTTCCTGAAGCGGGAGCCGGGAGGCGAGCTCTCCTGGGAAGGTACTGGCAGCCCGCGCCTGCTCCGGCCCGCAAGCCTGGCCTGGGCCTGCGCCCCGGCCCCGCCCCGGTGTGGCCCCGCGGCCCCGCGGCCCCGCGGCGCTTCCCCGGGCGCTCTGCCCGCGTCCCTCCGCGTGCCCTGGGCGCCCCGGGCTGACCCTCCCCTGACGGACAAGCTGCGCCGCCAGCCGCGCCTCCCTCCGCTCCCCACCGGCTCCCTGGGTGGACGCAGGGCTCCTGGGCCGCCGTCCCGTCCCTTGCGTCCTGGGAGCCTCCGGCCTCGACCGCACGCTTCCAGTCGCGTGTCTTTCCCACCGGCCCGTGTCCTTGTGCCTGGTCTCCCTCGCCCCCGGCCCCTCCGCCTCCGAGGCCCCCCTGCGCCCGGGCCTCGGCTGCTTGGCCGCCACGCCGCTGAGGGTGCCCGGCGCAACTCCGCCTTAATTGCTTTCTGCGCCCTCGTTTTCTTGCCCTAGTTCGCCAAAAAGTGATCCGGCCGTTGAAACTAGCCTCTTCGCTAATCCTAGACTGCCACGTGCTACTTAACGATATAGAATTATTTTTTTTGAGAGTGAATTAACGGAAAGACGTTAAGTGATTCCCTTTTTGGATTTTTTTCATCCCAGATACAGTACATGGCAATTGAGACATGACCTGATTTTTTAAAAAAGTATTGAACAACATACGTTGGTTGTGACAATAATAATAAAAAAATCCACGAAGTAAAAACTGACACTGTCTCTTCCACACAATACCTTAAGCACACTGCCCGCACACACTATATATGTGAAGCCTATGTATATATGCGTATGTATTTTTATAAAAGTTGTATAATTTATAATCCTGAATCCTGCTTTTTATCACTTAACAAAACGTGGATACTTTTCTTTGTACAGATAGATGTGTTTCTTTTTTTAAATGGCAACAACATATTCTGAGTCTACCAATGTGCACTTTGTTGTTTTTAATTTTCAGTTTTTCTCTGTTATACAAACTAATAGCTTAATTGGATCTTTGAGCATTTGAGAGTGTTTGTGCAGGGTGGATTCAGAGAAGTGAAATTATTAGGTTAAAATGTAGCCATATGTTACATTTCAATAATGACTGCAAAATTATTCTCTCAAAAGGTGATAGCAGTGTCAGCTCCAGTCAACATTGTGTGAATTTAGACAGGTCTTTCTTTAATTGAAATATGCAAGGTGGGAAGTTGGAGTGGGTGTGACTCAATAGTTGTTTCAAGTCAATGAAATGAATGTCTTTTTGGAAGTTTACATGAAATAATGGGCCATTGATGATGTAAACAATTGGTAAAGAAGATGAGTGTACTGGAATATGTTCACATATTATCCTTGTTTCTCATTTTGTACCCCATTGAATTTTATAGTCTAGTAGCAGTAATTGTTTTTTTCTTTTACCATGCCAGAGTTAAAAGATACCCTCTTCAGTCAATCCTTACTTTACAAAGTATTACTATTATTAATAATATTGCAGAATTATTTTTTTACAATATAATATCTGATCATTGTAATGAAAATATAAATGATGCAAAACAGTCTTCTGTTTCCCCAGTTCCTCTCTTTGCCTATTTTTAGCTGATATTCCTCCCAAAGCTCTACATAATTTGCTTGTGTTGCCATTTTTTAATGTATCACCTTAAACTTTTCCATTTTTCGTTTTTCTATTAGCTACTATATGTTGTATATAATTTCTTAAAATTAAAATTAGGCAATGATGCCTGCTGGATACACATAAAATTAAACATCGTACCTATTATGAAATATGAAGAATTTAGCTTAAGTTCATGATCTCTCTTCCCTGCTGATTTTTTAATATTATTATTTTAAGTTGTATATATAAAACTGTTGATTTTATTATATAGAAAGTTTATCATTATAATCCTATTATATAGGAAGTTACTCATATGAGAGAATGAGAAAAATGGTTTACTTACACATCCCTCTCCTTCTCCTCACTTTACTTCATTATTTCTACATTACAAAGTTTTACATAATTTATATATTGTTTTCTAATTGAATCTATGCCCTCTGGTTTTAGGATAATAGATTGATTCTAAGCGTTGTAAGTTAACAAAGAGTGTTAGGAGAAGCGACTTAGCCAAGTGTTTGAGAGCAAGGATTCTGGGGCCAGGTGACCAGGGTTCACCAACCAGTGTGGGACTTGAGGCTAGTCACCTAACCTCACAGTGAGGCTGTTGAAAGGATTAAACTGCCAGTAAATGAACTTCACTTACTAGAATAGGACATATATTAAGAACTTAGACAAGAACATATGCTAAGTGTTATTAAAGGCTTGTTATTATTTTATTGTTATTATTAAGAAATCAAGCAGTGCAATTAAACTCTAGAAAAAAAGAAAAGAAAATTTTGTGACATGAAAGTTATGCCACTCGAAGGAAAAATTTCCTTTCTTATACTATAAATGATGCTTACATTTACTTAAAATGATACTAGAATTTGTTTTGCTTCATATTTGGGCTGCAGTATTCTTTCACAACTTACTTTAAAAATTGTTGTTAGTTTTTTAACAAAAGAATCACACTGATCCTCAAAATTTCCTGGCTTAACTGCACTATTAGATGAATGCAAATTGCTTATTTTTTGAAAACTTTTTTTTTCCTTAAAGAATCGGAATTCCTGCTCAAGTTGTCACTTATATGTACCTTTCTGAGCACAGCTACAAACCTGAATATATGTCTGTTAGCTGAATATTGTACATTCTGCTTATGTATTGAACATCTCTTAATTTTTCTCTCAAATTTTCCCACTTTTGTGTTTATATAGATTTCATTGCCTTTGTTTCCCAGACCACTATTTGGTTTTTAATACTAGCTTCATTATTATTTTATCCTTACACTGAATTTTTTTTTTTTTTTGGCAATCATATTTTTAATCTCCAAGATTATTGTTATTCTCAGATTTCTACTTATTTTTTTCAGAGTTGCTGGTTTTTTATATATGTATATAATTGTTACTTGAACTTTTCTGAAGACAGTAGGTATAATTGTTTAAAAGTTGTTTTTGTCTTACATTAACTCCTCCCCCCCATAGTCATTTTTTTATGATGACTTTTTCAGGCTACTGATTTTCTTCAAATATCTGGTATCCTTGAATACCCATTTTTATGAATAGAAGATATGCTGATCAGTATAGGCAGCTGTGCTGGTTTTCTGTTGAAGTTGCTTTGGATGTTTATCCAAAATCCCCTCTAAATGAGAGAACATTTGAGGTATACTGTGTACTTTAGCAGATTTTGTGGAAGAGAAAGTTTCCCTCCTCAGGGTGTGTGACTGAGGGGCGAGCAGGTTCAAGATCTTTATCGTTAGCAAAGGAAAAATACTTTTATTATGGGGTGGAATGTTTAAGTATATTTTATTATTGAATGGAATTGCCTTTTTCTTTTTCTTTCTTTCTTTTTTTTTTTTGAGTTGGAGTCTCACTCTGTCGCCCAGACTGGAGTGTAGTGGCCGCTCCCGGCCACCGCAGCCTTGACCTGCTGGGCTCCGGTGATCCTTCCACCTCAGCCTTCCGAGTAGCCGGAATTACAGGCACGCGCTACCATGCCCGGCTAATTTTTGATTTATTGTAGAGATGAGGTCTCGCCAAATTGCCTGGGCGGATCTCGAACCTGCGGGCTCAGGCAATCCACTCACCTCAGCCTCCCAAAGCACGGGATTACAGGCTGAGCCACAGAGCCCGGCTGCCTTTTTCTTTTACCTCCAGGTTTATTGGGTGGGTCCATGGACATTTCAGGATCTGATCTGCCTAATCCCAGACCCTCACTAGGGCCTTTCCGGGAAAACCACCAATGTCTAGAGCACACTTCTTTCACAATGGTGATAGAATGGAGTAGAAGGAGGCAGGTGGAAGACCTTTGTTTCAGCTCTTCTTCAGGTTGGCATGCATTTATTTGTTAGGTTTCTTCTTTCACGTTGCTTTTGTAGAAGTCTTCTCTACCTTCTTATTCTTTATCATAGCACCTGTATCTTTTCCTTTTACTCTTATTATAGATTAAAATTGCGTTAGTTACATTGACTTGGACTCTTTAGCAGCTGGTAATAGAAAGTGAGTGTGAATCAGCCTAAAAAGAGAAAAAAAGAAATGAATTCATATAACTAAACTGAAAGAAGCATGCGGTATAGCATCTCTCTCCTCACTTGCTTTCTAGCTCTCATCCTCTTTCCCTCAGCTTTTCATTTCTCAGCTCCTGGCTTCCAAACAAAACTTTTCCAAAGGGAGCTCGGGCTTATAATCATAAAGTCAGAGAAGAAAAAGATACTGGACATCAGATGTGGTGTCACACTGCATTCTCTTAGCTTTCCCTGAAGGAAGCAAGATGGCTGCTGCAACTTTAGTCATCACGTATGCATTCAGTGGAATAAGGGAAGGGAAGAAGGGTAGAAGGGTCAGCCATGGGTATCCTGTTTTGTCTAGAAAGAAAAACCTTAACAGAATATACCTCCCACCATCGCCATTCCACTTCTTTTTGTGTTTAAAATTGGCCAGAACTATTGTGCTTAACTTAGCTCTATTGCAGAAGAGTCTGGGAAAGTACTTCATTTAGCCCAACACATTGTTGCTTGGAAGGAAATTAGGGTTCTGAATACCAAGAAGAATGAGAAGAGTGGATTTTAGGGAAGCAATTAACAATGTCTGCTACCTTTTATTATTATTATATTTTTGAGGTGGAATCTCAATCTGTCATCCAGGCTGGAGTGCAATCCTTCCACCTCAGCCTTCCAAGTATCCAGAACTATAGGCACGTGCCACCACACCTGGCTAATTTTTGATTTATTGTAGAGACGAGGTCTCACCAAGTTGTCTGGGCTGGACTCGAGCCCATGGGTTCAGGCAATTCACTCACCTCGGCATCACAACATGCTGGAATTACAGGCTAAGCCACCAAACCTGGCCTGTCTGCTACATTTTAAAACAAAAGATATCATGCACAATATTTATTTGAGTACCTCTTTTTAAAGTTTATGGCTT